AAATTTTATTAAATTTAAACTATTATTACTTATTTTATTAAAAATAAGTAAATCTTATAATTAAATAAAATAATTATAGAAAATAATATAGAGACGTTCTGAAAAATAATAGTATAAAATTTAATAAAATAATATTATATTTTTTTAAATTAATAATATTTAGTAGAATGATCTATATATTATAGTTAGTAATAACAGTATAATTAATTATTTTCAGCTGAAATAAATATTTTAATAATTTTAAAAAAAATATTATTATATAAATTAAATACTAATTGAATTATATATTATATAATTATTAATATTAGTATAGATTTTTTTAATATAAAATATCTGTATTAATATTAATATCTTATCGGCGGTTTTTATTTTATAATATAAAATTAAAATAGAAAAATTAGTTTTAATTTATTTTATTTTTTTATATTATTTTTTTTAACTTACAGTTCTTAAATTCGAACTAATTTTTTTTTTAAAAATATTAATTAATAAAATGCTCAGTACTATTATATAAAAAATATTATAAAACTTTTCTAATTAGATTAGAATAATTAGTTTTAAAATTAAAAGATTAAAGATTTTTATAAAACTATAATTATTTTTATAATATATTAAATCCGTCGGATTCTTATTTATATTTTTACTATTATATATATAAATTTTAATAATAAATAATAAAAAATACTATTTTATTTTATTCTTCTGACAGTTGGTATATATATTTTTTGATATAATAACTAAAATTAAAAAACAGCTTTATAAAAAATATAATTATATTTTTTATTAATAATTTTAAAAAAGTATTGTTTTAAAATATTAAAATAAATATAAAATTTATAAAAATTTTAATTACTTTATTATCGAGCTTTTTTATAACTAACTTATTATATTAAATTTAAAAATAGCAGTATTTCGAATTAAAAAAAATATTAATAAAAAAAACTATAAATAATTAATATTTTTTTTTAATTTAATAGTAATTTTTTTAAAATAATAATACTATCTCTGCTGACAGATTATACTTATATAACTTATAATTTTAAAAATTTTATAATAATTATTATAAAATTTAAATAATATTTTTTAAAAATTATAATCTAAATTATAAAACTACTTCTGGTATTTTTATATTTTAAAAAAAATTCAAATTACAGAATATCTTTAATCTTAATATTTATTTTAAATTTATTTAAAAAAAAGTTTTTTATTATTAATTTAATATTAATTTAATATTATTATATTAAATTTTTTATTATAATTTAATAATTTATTTTTATAATTATTAATAATTTTATAATTAATTAATAGTATTTCTAACTACAGTAAGATTTTCTACCGAAGAATCTAATAATAAAAATAAAAATCTATTAATAATAGAAAAAAATTTCCGATTTTAAACTATTATTTAAATATAAAAATTATAGTAATATACTATATTTTATAGATAACTAAAAAAAAATTAGAATTATAAAAAATAAAAGAATTAGTTAGATATAAAATAGTAGCAGTCTGTTTATTTTAAGACTAATTCTTATTATTTTAAAAATTTAATAAAATCCTAGAAATTAAATATTAAAGAAGATCTGAATTATTAATATTATAACTATTATACAGAGAATATGTAGGTTGATTGTTGACAATCTGCTATAATTATAAGAATTATCTATAACAAAATTCTATTAAATTTTTTTATCCAAACTATAGTAAAAACACCGACTTTTATTTTAAATTTATAATAAAGAAAATATTAAATATACTGCTAATTTCAAATATAATAAAGCTAAAATAAAATTTTATTTTTATATATTATTAATTATATAATAATTTAATACTCTGCATTACTAGTATAGAGATTATAATTAATTATATAATATATAAAGAAAATAAATTATAATTAGTAATAATAATAACGATTTAAAAAGAATTATAGTAAATAAAAATTAATATATTATTTAATTACTTAGACTTATCAGTCTTAGTATTAGAAAAAGAAGATATTATATAAATATCAAAAAAAATAATAGAAATTATATATATAAAAAGAAAGCAGACTGATAATAAAAAAAATATATATAAAAAAAAAACTAAAAAAAGAAGAAGATAGTCTTTTTATATAATATTTTGTATATTATTTATTCATTTATAAAACTAATAGCTAAGTCTGATTATATTTCCGGAATTGATTGTATAAATAATATAAAAAAAGATTTTATTTATTAAAAAATCATAATATTTAATAGATAGAAAGAAATTATATAAAAAATTATATTAAATAAAATAGATTTTATTTATATATATACTGTCTACTAACCAGTTACGATATTATTTAAATTCAAAAACATTAAAATTTTAAACAATTATTTATATAAATAGAAGCTATAAAAGAAAGATAAAAAAACTTTTATTATAAAATTAATATTCTAATATAAAGTTCAGCTTCAAATATCAGTCAGTGTCTAAGACTTTATATATTGTATATTAAATTAATACTAGTTTAATATATATAAAAGAATTTCGTACGAATAGATAAAATAGCTCTTCAGCTATTTCTTCTTATTTTAAGACATGTTTCGATTAGCACAATCCATCCGCCCTGTAGAGTAGCTTAACCTGACCGTTATACCTTAACCTTAACCTGGCCATAACCTGGCGGTCAGATTAAAGTATAAAATCAGATTAACCGTCAGGTAGAACGGTTAACCGCGGTTAACCGTTCTACCTGCACTAGTTCTAAAAAGGCTAGTTAAGACAGAAATTAGATATAAATTAGACAGAATTAGACAGAAATAAACCAAAATCAGACCAAAATCAGGCAGCAGTATTCTGCCTCCTTTTACCGTCTTCCAAAATAAGCTTAGTTGCTGAGAAATTAGCCCCGCCGGTTAACCGCAGGTTAAGCCGGTCAGGAATATATATATTTTTATACCTGACCATAACCTGCGGTCAGGTATAAAAATCTTAATTAACCTGACCTGACCTGGCCGTTAGCCACTCTACCGCCCTGTAACAATTCTACTCTAAGGTTTTCCACAATTATATGAAAAACATATGAAGAATATATAAAAGAAAAAAATCAATAAATTCCTATTGAATAGAAATAATAGGATGAATAGAAGAAGATTGTTTAAGGTTATTTTCCCCGCTGAAGGATCACCGGAACTCGGAATTCCACTTCACGAACTGGTGAAACTGAGGCAGCGAACTGGTGAGCCTGAGGCTCCCAGCTGGCCATATGGTTGACAGATAGACTGTATATAATAAAAATAATTATAATATTTATAAATATAATTTCTAATTATAATCTGTTTCTAAAAATAGAAAATCTAATTTAATATAAATAATCGATATTTAAATATATAGATAGAGAGTATAATTATTTCTTATACTGGTCTAAAATTCCTGGAATACAGATGTTATATTTGTCTATAAGGTGATGAACTAAACAAGCAAGATCTAAAAGGATGTAGGCGATGCACTCTGGAGCGATTGTGATACCGTGCACTCAACGGCAAACGCGAAACACTTCATATACCAGGCATGACTTTGGAAGCTCAGCTCGATACAGTGTGGGGCCATTGGGATCCTTTCACAGGCCACCTTCGGACTTCGCGGAAAGGCCGCCTTGTACGCTTCAAGAGCCGTCGAAGAACAGGTCCAGAGGCCATCAAATTCACTCAAGCCATGTAGTAGCGGGACTGTGACTTTCATAGAATACTGCTTCCAGTAATTCAGCCAGGTCGTGTTGATATCCCGCAGCTCGCCACTGGGTACCGGTTCGTTCAATTGTTCGGTAAATTGTCGCATCTCTGGCGGTGCGAGCTTCATATGCGGTAGCTGCAACATGATGGCGTCCTTTGCTACTGCTTCGAAGTAAATGAGGTCGTCGTCTCCACTTAATAGATGTATCATATGGTCTTTGGGCCCTTCCACAAGCTCGCTGCCAATTCCAGAAGTAATAATACCTGCCAGCGGATATTTCTCAAGCCCGGTGTAACACCCAGCAGAGATTGTCGCGATCATTGCGCCGATAGAATGTGACAGCAGCACCATTGATGAGGCTTCTGCACGAGTTGCAAAAGCCTGCCACAATGCAGGAAGAATCGTTGAATTGAAGTACCTCCCTTGTGCTTGCGCATAAGTAGGTGCATTTTCGATGTTGGGGGCTGGCGTGCTTGCTCCGTAGCCAGGTCGGTCCAGTGCGATTACCGGGATGTTGAGACATGTTGAGAGTTCCAAGACAGACTGGGTGCCCTCTACATCAAAGTATCGGGCCCCATAGCTGCCACCCGGGATGCATACAATAAGTGGCCGATTCTGTAGTGATCTAGGATCTCTAGACGGGATGCTATAGCGACCGGATATGACGCCACTGCTTGATAGAGGGAGTTCGAAATATTCCATTGTTATTGATGTTATCTTGTAGTCTGTGAATGACAAGGAGGGACGAGTTGAAGAAGGGAAAGTCAAAAATATGCAGTTAGCAGTAGTATTATATACTAGTGAAGCGTGAGTCACGTTATCATCTCATCTGGGTTGAAGTGGAGATAAGTCGGCCACCGGAAGGCTTGTCATCCGATATAACAATCGGTAAAATTATTTTTGCCGTATTTCAATTTTATGGATCTATTAGTCGTTCCCTATATTCCTGCTGCAAATCTGGGTAGAGCCGTTAATTCCGGCCTTGAATTTAGTCAAATCCGTAATACCGACACTTGGTGGGTAGGCTATACAGATCTGTACCGGGATCCCATAACAAACATCGAGCCAATTCAACATGCCTCGGTCCGAACGAAAGAGGAATACCGTAGAAGCAGGAAAGGCCCATTTATCTTTGGCCGCTATATAAAGCCGGCTTGGGTTTAATTATAAGGCTTCAGGTGGAGCTTGAGGTAATTTTGCAACCCACTGCCCATATTAGACGAGTATCATGGGTTCGAAAGATTGTGCCCTTCGGGGGAACCCAAAGAACGTCATCTTAATGTAACATAGATCATTTTTTTCAGTCTATCCATACACTAGCCATGAAATTCTTGTTTTTGAATCATCCATATAGCCACTTCATACTCTCTTCCATCAGCCGCGCGCAGGATGCAGGGTCGTCCACGCCCGGCAAATCTGGCTTGATTGTGAAACCTCTCAGGCTAAGGACCCAGGAAATACACTTGTAGCTCTCCCGCCCTTCGACAGGCAGTGGCAACACGTTATCTGATGCGTACGGCAGCACTGGCGTTATCCAGTCTCGGTCATAAATTGCCTCCAGCGAAAGGAGTTTCCATCGGCCGGATACCCTCTCCAAACGTGAAATAAATCGCGTCACTGCAACGCAGTCGTAGCTCCGACCCCTATACGGAAAACGGATTGAGACTGATCCCGTGGACTCCGCGAGGGCTTTGTCACTCTCTAAGTGAATTTCCACCGGCGAGATGGTATGGATGGCGCCTGTACCACTGGTGGCCATGGCGCGAGAACCGGACACAAATCCATCAATATCACCCTGGTACCTATGGTATAGCCTGCATTAGAGATGGTGTACAATCTAGTTTTCCATGGCATTGCATTTCTCTGCATGGCGGCTTACCAGGTAATGTCGATGCGCGTCTTCGATGTATCCGGATGATAGCTGGACCGGAGCTTTGCCCATTGGTTTGTATCGCGGTAGTATCGCTCGCGGATGAGCAGCGATTGGATCTCGATTTTTGAAACAAGATCGTCCATTATGGAAGATTGCATTGAGAGCTGTCTGGAAATATAGTTTGCTGAGGACTTATAGTAAAATTCAAAAGTTTATGCAGCTGTGATGCACGCTGTAAACCAGCAGGCTCGTCAAATAAATACGAAGCGATTCAGCCCGACAACACTGACGGTCAGCCGCTTGGTCGGCACGGACGGAGATCCGGTTATCCAGCTGTTGCGCCTCCCGCACTAGTGGCCGGAACGGTTCGGTCCATGGCGTGCTCTCTCTCTCATGGGTGGTTCTAGGTTGGCATAATTATCAGAATACCATGACGAGGTTGGAAACTAATTAAAACAACCCCGTAATTCCGAACCCGAATGAGAACACCCTTGGTATTCGTGGACGCCTTTCTTGGCAGTATGCGGCACAGCTCTTTCTATTTTCCTTGTAGAATTCCCAGCTGATACAGCTGTTTCCCAGGAGCTTTTACGTAGGAAAGAACTGTGATCTGGAATTTCTAAACAATCCTGGTAAAGGCAAGCTGAAGGAAAAGATGTATCAGCGTGCACTGGTAGGCCACAAAAGGCTCTCGGCCCTGATCATAAAGAAACACGTGAAGTGTCCCGCGGGCTCCCCTATTTCCAGGCTCGAATGACACGACTTGACCCGTCAGGCCGTGACAGTACCTGTTATTTGGGCGAAGAGTTCTTCTGTTGTTGGGTTTTGAAAGAAGACTTGAGCTCTTGCATCAAGTGGCCACCGATTATACCTGTAAATTTCCTATTGCGAGGCAAAAATCGCCATATCCTGTATATGTGTAAATGAACTTTCAACATCGTTCTCCACGATAGATATGGGCACCCAGTTGTCAGCATACGATAGATGTACTGTCGTCTTCCTAAATTCCTTCCCAGATATTAAGCAGGTCTAAACGCTGCAGAAAGCCCGGCCGATTGAAATTCCACCTGGATGCGTCCCACATCACAGAAGCAGCTCAATAACATGAGGTGGTCGCAGATACTGAAAAATGCTTCTCACAAAAAAACCCCAATTGGCGGCTTCTGTCTCGTTGTCGTCAATATATTGGTCGAATACACGCTCACCTAGACCCTCCAGCCAATCTGGTAGACTAGAAACAAGGAATGATTTTCGCCCGAGAAAGCCCCAGACGAATTCCACCACTTCAATGATGTCGATTTTCTCCGACGCCGGCCTGGCCGGATTGTGAGACCATCTTTCCCAGAGGAGTGGCTAAGTCGCAGCCCGGTGAAGCCGCTTTTTAAGCGAACTAGTATGGTATAGTTAGATAAGACAGGCCCTGAGTGATTCAAAGTATGGCACGACGAAAATCCCGGCCATATCCTGTGCTGTACAGCGTGACTTCCATCAGCCGGTGACGGCAACAGGCGACGTGTTGCAGTCCACTACTACATACAGTGTTGCCATAGCCCTCCGGCGCCAATGATCACAGTGGCGGCAGTCTTTGTTATCCATGCTGCTGGTGGAACAATGGCCTTACACACTCCTTTGTCGTGAGCTTTGTAGCTTTACATATATGAGCGATTCTCCTGCGGGAGTTCCCGACTGGTTCCCGCGCCTCTGGCAGCTGTCTGCCAGACCCAGCGGTCGTAGTCGATGGGCGCTTGGGCTTCAGTCTACCACGGTGACCTTAAGATTTGAACGGTAACTCTGTGTGGCAGGTGTACACATATCTGAAACGGAAAAGACGAAGTCTAGTGCCCTCACGAGACCGGAGAGACACCCCGAGCTGATCCGAACTATCCCCAATGCCGGAGTTGCCGCTTTCACCGCCCATCCATCGAACCCCAAGGACCCATTGTATTCGGTGCATTGTATGACTTAGACACGACGGTGTCTTGCAAAACTACAACAACGAGAGACACAGAGCACCGACAAAGGACCAACAAAGGCATTGTCTGGGAGTAAGGGTGCTCATCAGATTCCTCTGTCAAAGAAAGCTCTTACACGCTGGTGAACAAAAGATCCACATCGACAAAAAGAACTGGGTCAGGGTTCGATGTATATAAACCCCCCTCAGCCTGCCCTCCATGCTCGATCCAAGTACAGCCTTCCAGCTTCAAGTTGCTTCGCATTGACCATTAATTAGAACGTCATGGCAGACTACTGTTTCGGCGAGATGTCCGCGAGGGCACATGTGCAGATTTTTGATGTAGATAGCACATCCGGTGGGTCAGATGCCGAGGATGAGCTCGGTATTTATGAGGGAGATCATTGGGGCACGCCCAGTGAGTCCGAGGTTGACTCTGATTTCGATGATCGTGACGAGAGCCCACCTTCACCTCTTGCGCCGAAATTCCCACGGGATGGCGAGGAGCTGCTGCACGATGTGGCGTCTCTCCTGGATGGCAAGGGCATCGGCAATGTACTCGTTGGAGAGGTCGCCCTTTCGATCATGGGCGTGCCCATCGCCGCTCACTACACCGCGTTCATGATTCCGGATGGGCAAATCGACCAGGCTGCCCAGGTGCTACGTGACGCCCAGTACCCCGACTGCAAGGATCTGGACCAGTTCGCAGCCAAGCCTACCAAGACCAAATCCCGCATCCGCTGTCGTGCGTTGACTGGGGGCGCCACTCGCAGATGTCCCATCCCGGTCCATCACTTCCACACCGACCATCGCTACCCCGAGGACCGCAATGACAGCCGCAACCAGACCCGAGGCGTCTTCCTCTATTGTGCGTCGCAGATGCTGGCCCCGGGCTTTCCAATGCCCGCTGCTGGGCCTCCGCCGCCCGAGGATCCCTTTTACATGGTCACTTCCGATGCGCGGCTCTACAGGCCATCGTTGCGGGGCGAGGACGGCCTGGTAATGCTGAACTGCCGGGGCCGGCAGAGTACGGAGTCTTACCCGGTCAAGATACTCCACCCGGCGCGATATATGGAGAATCTGGTCTACCTGATGGTTCGCGACATTGGGTACCTCGTCTGCAACGGGTGGCAAACCGAGTTTAAATGTATGTTGACTTTCAGTCCGCTCTTGCCAGCTGCGAACCTAGCGCTAGCTGCGATTGATGTCGAGCTCGGGGACGTACAGGCTGGGCCGATCCGGGACTGGATTGGGCTGCACCATGTATGGGACAATAATGAGGCGGCCATCTGTGTTCGGTTCGCGGCTCTTCACCGATATTGGAAGAAGTCGGGCCTACTGGGTGAACCCCTGATGACTCCCCGGGAAGCGAAGGGTGTCTCGCCGAAACACATTGAGGATTGCCTCAGGAACATGGAAGAGGGGAAGCCCCCAAGCCTGGATCGATCCTTTGAGGAGTCCGACTGGACTTGTCAATTGATGTAGGTTACCTATATCTAGAAAAAGATATATACATCATGTATCTTGAATCTTTACAGTATTACATAGTAGTTACAGATAACTAAAGGACTGCTTGCTTCTATGAGTCGTTTCGGCGTTCCTAAGGCAAGCTATCTTGGTGTTTATTGCAAAATGGCACGAGTAAGCCAGCCCACCATAGAGTAGTGTTTGAGTAATCGAACCACATGGTCCAAGGCGGTTGGTTACCAGGCTGCTTGGCGTTGATTTCTCTTCTTGCTCCCCTTGTACCAAACGCGAATAATTGGCTGTCTCCGAAGGAGTTGCACACTTTCTGTAGCGAGAAATGGAAATGTCCAGCCCCCCCCCGCCCCCCCCCCCCACCGTCATCAGTCGGGAACGGAGAGGAGCTGTCAACTCATGAGACATCATGCAAACAGGGCATATGTTCTCTCGTATTCCCCGTCACCGAATATAATAACCCCTCTCTCCTGCCAGAGACTTTTCTTTCTCTTTCCCTTCCCATCGCGAATTGGGACTTGACTCTCCGTGTATGAAGACAATCGTTCACCACAATGTTCGACCGAGTCAAAGCGGTCTTTTGCAGATATCCCGACAACAAGGCGGGGGCGACGATGGCGGTGCTCGAATTCCTGGCAGCTCAAGGGGTGCGTTTGGGCCCGTTTACGCAGGCGACGCAGTCCGAAGGTTACTTCTCCAAGGGCAGCCGTAGGGCTTGTGAGGTCTATTTCCCCCAACCCGGTATCAGCACGACAGCGAGGTTGACTGGCACTGAAGGTTAGGACAATGTATCTCGTGTCCGAAGAGCAAGTCAACCGTATCAAGGGGCTGCTGAAGAACGGCAAAAAGTCGCCTCTGAGGACCACGGATTGGGGCGAATTAGTTTGGAAAGGCTGGCTCGAGTTCAGGTTTAAGAAAGCCGGAAAAGCTACGCGAGCCAGGCGAGTAAGTTGGAGTTCCCCACATGCATGCCTTTCACCCTAGACTGTGAGGGACGGGATTAAATCTCCCTTCAAACTAGAACTGTGTCTGCGTGGAGTATGAACCGAAGATTGCCCGCAAGCCCCAACAGCCGGATACCGTGACCTTCGGCCTCGTGGGCACGGTCACCTGCATACACCAAACTTACCATCACGGAATGCTCGCCGTCATTCTATGTGTGACTTGCGGCCTCGGCCTGTTGTACTATTCGGTCCAACTTTCACTTCCTTATCCGCCTCCCAAGTCCAACTTGCAGAAGTTTCTAGAAGGGTGCAAGGCCTTGTTCGGCTATTGATTCGGCCGGGTTTGGGCAATCGGTCAAGAACACTACCACCGCCGATGCCCTTGACTGAATTATCGGGTATATTGGACTGTATTCAAATGTGCCATATCGAGCTGCCTTCCCGGATTATCGCTATCTAGTAGGCGCAGCTACTTACCCCCTCCTGCTCCTCCCAAGGTTGCAGTTGACCAGAAGTTGGTGGCGGCGGTCTCAGACTGAACCTGAGAGGTGGCGATGTGAGGGGTAAGGTATGCATCTACTTCGAACAGGATTACTATCAGGAAGGAAGAATAAGTAAACTATCCAGCTAGAGTAACTTGCCGATATCGTCTAGCTTGGAGAGTTTCTTACCACGGTGTCTTACTCTAGGATGGCTCTGTCCTGCGTGTCACTTTTGCTTTTACCCGGGTCATTTCTTTTGGCGGTGCATGATTATCTATTCGTAATAGACCTAGTGACTATTCCATCCCAGGAGTATCGCACTGTCTTTGTGCTGTGCTGGCTTATCCTGCCAACTGAAGGGAGAGTGGCTTTTCCCCCTGTTCCTATGGCCTCATTCCTTGTGCCTGTATAGATGTGTACATATAGAACACGCTGCAGTACCCCGAGATACCGCTTTTCCCTACCCGTTGGGGAGAGGGGGGAAGAAAATAATTCCATGTCTCTACTATGTAGATCTAAAGACCGAAGTCCCGAGCTCGGGGCTCGGGGCTACCGGCGGTGACCTAAATCCGATCTAGACCGAGCACTCACTCCCGATTGCCCAATGTATTCGGACATCATGCAGCTGCACGAGATGACATAACCAAGAAGCAAGCACTGGCTCTACGACCTCACGTCCGTCCAATAGCTCGTAAGCGCGATCCGTAGACCCACAGAACCAGCGGAATGGGCCAGCCGACAGCAACAAAGATAAATCCCAGCAGGCTGTTCCCCCACCCGTACCCGAGGGCGGCATACAGATCCGGGGCGAAGATGGGGAAGACAAAGCCGAGGATGTTGGACAACATGCGCGCGGCGGCGTTGGCCGAGGCGGCGTGCGTGGTGAACTCGTCCAGCAGGTAGGCCAGCATGCCCTGGGACAGAACGAAGCTGCCCGTGACGAAGATGGCGGTGCCGACATCAACGACAACCCAATTTAGGCGTCTCTCCGCCGACCAGCCGTACAAGAGAATGCCCACGGGGATCAGGAGGACGCCGGGGACCAGGAACGGGACCCGGGACTCGGGGGTGGGTGCGCCGTCGTGGTGGCGCGCCTTTAGACTGCGATAGATCCAGTCCATCAGATGGCCGCCCGCCTGCGAGGCGGTGATGGTGCCGATCGCGATGGCGATGTAGTTCAGACTGCTGATTGTCGCGGACTCGCCGTATCGCTCGATCCAGAGGGTCGCGTAGGTGGACAGCAGGAGGCAGTAGATGGCGAAGTTCAGCGCCATGATCAGCGCGATGACTTGGATCACTGGGCGGTAGATGAGGAGACCTAGTGGTCGAATGAGGTGGGCGCCTAGCCGGGCGCTGAGGTCTTGATAGAACGCTTTGTCGAGTAGGAGCGTGAGCGGGTGTTTGCTGAAGGAGGAGAGGGGAGCATTGGCGGCATCCCGGCGGTTGCGGTGCAGGGCGGCCTTCTTCCGGAGTAGACTTGGGGTGTAGCATTCAGGCAGAAAGACAATGCCGACCAGTACAATTACGGCGTCGAACATGGAGAGAATCCAGAATAGCCAGCCCCACGGCAGATGCTGAGAGATCACTCCGCCAATGATGGGACCCAGGGCCGGACCCAGATAGGGGATAAAGGTGGCCAGCGCGAGGGAGCGTCCTCGATGTTCCGGCCGATACATGTCCGCTAGGATAGGACCCGTGAGCTGTATGAAGTAGACTGCGTCAGTTGGCTGTACATTCAACTTCAACCTGGAATGAAACAATAACAAAATACTGACCGTGATACCTGCACTGGCGCCTGATCCGGCTAGAAATCGCCCGACCGTCATGAGCCCGACTGAGGGACTCACGGGACACAATGCATTCCACAAGATATAGAACAGATTACTGGCAATCCATACCGGTCGCCGCCCGTACATCTCAGAGAGAGCAGCGATTAGAAACGGAGCAAAGGCGAGACCCAGGATGAAGATTGAGAAGATGACCTGAGTAGCCGTACTGCCCAGGTGAAGGTCGGCGCCAATTTGAGTCAACACGGCGGCCATCATACTAGTCGACATGAGGGTGACGAGTTGCCCCAGCGAGACGATCAGCGCGACTGAAACTTTCCGCATGGAAGACCAGTTGTAGGGATCGTGGTGATCGCCGGAGGAGTCCCAGGTGGCCTAGGGATTGATTGGCGGTTAGATCAGAATTGGTCACGGGGTGAGCATGATTATATATCGAAGTTTCAACTTACACCATGTTCTTCGAGCAAAGCGTTCAACCGCTCTTGCTGCTGATCGGTGATGGTCACCACAGGCGGTGACGAAGTCGCTTCAACCGGAATGCCCTTTTTTTCAGAACACATGACGAAGACACTTGAATCCGTATTCTGGATTTGAGTGACAAACGGACTCAGAAGATCTGTTGACGGTGTTGGAATCTTATATGGAGAGGAGGTCTCGGAGGACAGTGAAGAGGGTCGGAGAAAGATCGGAGAGTGAAAAGCTTAACACCGAGGCTGGTACAATCTTGAAGGAATGAAAAAAAAGTAGAATACATACTGCGACCTTACTCCGAGTCTAAACTACGGCATATCGTCAATCAGGGACCTGAGTTTTCAAATTTATTGCTGGCTCAGGTGGCTTGAGTAGGGCTGAGTGGGCGGGAAGCCCCATCTTCCATACCCTGTGGTCGTACGTAGTGGCCATTTTGTAACTTATTTATATAGATGTAGTTCACTTATTCAGAGTATGACCCGCGATAGTATTATGAACTCGCTGCAAGACTAACTGTTCTTTCATTAAAGGGCCTTGCCGACCAAGAGATTATCTGGCATTCGACCTGAAGACAGTCTTTAGCAAACGGTACGATCAGCCCCTGCATGAAACACGACCAATTGTTGGATATGAGCTGAAACAAAATGAAGTCAAGTTATTAGCTGATAGTAGATGGAATGTTAGCATAGCATCTAATCACATTCCCTCTCACCATACATATTCAACTCATGCACTCTTTAACACCGCACTACGGAGTAGGATGAGGACAGTAGTCTCAAGTCTGATGGAAGCAGTCACCAATCTTGTATATCTTTTGCTCTTGTAATTCATCAATTAATCTCCAAGTGATCGGAGACGTTTATCGTCCCGAGGCGTGCTCTTTTGAGTCAAAGGCTTCAGCAACTCGAAGCTGCAAAGTAACTCATCCGATACGCTCATGACGCCGCCCCAGTTGTCGAATTCTCCACAGTACTATGAAACAGTGAGCTCGAGGTGCTGCAGAATACAGAGTCATTTGACCCAAGTAGCAATTATCATCCATCAAAGTAGAGTAGTACTTACGTTTGGGGCTGAGAAGACGGTTACCAGAAGCCGATCCGGGTAGAACTCGTACCCATCTTCCACGACCATATGGGCTCGGCAAATCAGGTCAAAGTCATGGCGTTGCAAGAAATCTACAATTACTCGCCTGCCGAAACAATAGCTCACACCTCGTTCGTTGGTATCCCAGTCTTGCTCCGAGTCGACGGGGTCGCTCCACAGGAGGTCACTCAGGAGACCATAGTCTGGCACGTCCGTCGGGCGGGCGATGCGGCGGATATCCTCCATATCCGACAGGGACGGCGACAGACCACCGTGCACGCAGAAGATCTTTCCGGCGACGATCGCGGCGACGGGCATGCAGTTGAACACATCGATGAAGGTCTTCCAGGTTTTGATGGTCGTCCGCCGCTTGCACTCGTCGTAGAACCCGTACACCCGGCTCACGTTGGCACATTCGTGGTTGCCTCGCAGGAGGAAGAACTTCGTAGGGTAGCGCAGCTTGTAGCACAAGAGAAGGAGGATGCTCTCCAGGCTCTGCTTACCGCGGTCCACATAGTCGCCGAGGAAGAGGTAATTGGCCGCGGGAGGGAAGCCGCAGAGCTGGAAGAGGCGGAGCAGGTCGCTGTACTGGCCGTGAATGTCCCCGACGACCTTGACGGGGGCATTGAGCTCGAGGAGCACGGGCTGCGAGAGGAACAGCTCGCGCGAGGCGTGGCAGATTGACTGGATCTCGGCCACGTCGAGGCATAGGCTCTTCTTCGAGGGGCCAACACGACCAAGGAGGCGTGCGATCATAGCGTCCAGAAGGACGTTGTCAATAGCTCCAGTTTCCAGATGCTCCGGCAGAAACCGAGCAGCATGTCCCATCGGGCTGTCCGTGCCGAATGGGAGGATTGGTCCTATCGGCGTGTCTTCAATGAGAATAGACTCACGAGGCTGGGTTGGTGATCCAAGCATATATCCGGGCAGCGGGTGGATAGCAGGAACATCGGAGATACCATCGACCTCCCCAGACTGTTGCATAAGAGTGGCATCCATATGGCCCCGTTTGGAAAGAACACCAAGTACTGGTGATGGGAGCGGACTCGACCCGTCGCTCTCCTCAGCCTCCGTCGCAGGTCGCTGTGAGACGGCCGAGAAGAGTCCATCCTCTGCTGGGACAGAGCTTGATAGTTCGGGCTTCGATATAGTATTCACATCTTTCTCTAGCACCTGCCGCAACTTCGAATTTTGGTGCGATGCGGTATGCTTCAGACTGGGGTGGCTCTCCTGATGCGCCAAGCCTGTCTTGTTGTCAGTCTGGAGGACGCCCAGAATATCACCAGTATCAGCTTGTATTAAGGGTTGTGGAGAAGTTGCATCCATCAAAGCGACGGGTTCATTGTCTTGGATGTCATCGGTACTATACACATAACCGTCCGCCAGATCATCGGTGTTGGTATCGTGCTGAGGCTTACTTATAACCGGAGATGGCAGGCGCTGCTTGTAAGCTAGATCTTGAAGCACGGGGTCTGCAAAATTCCCAGATGTCTCCTCATTGACGGTTGCAAAGCCCCACTCAAATTGTCTAAGTCTTCCCAGCGGCATATCACCACTATAGAGGGGAGCATGGATGAAATGACCCCATTTCTCTATTGGGCTGGAGCTCTCGAGGTTGGGTGACGACGCCCTGGAATCAAACTTGCCAAAAGAATTCTCTAGACTGCTCTGCTCTAAGTAAGAAACCTCGTTGGCTGTGCCGCTACCGACATCTTCAAAGGTAAGGGTGATGAATCTTTCCGGGTCGTCGTCTATGGTGCTCCGCTTATGAGGCTTTGATACTCGTGAACTCGCGTTTTCAGCAGCCGAGCTTTCCGACCCTTCATCCTCATACGGCGGCAGAGATTGTAGAGCAAGGTACCTCAAATGTCCCACCATATGCTCTAGAATCGTGCCTGCCTGTGAAGTGTCGCCGTAGCCACAGAGTGGACATGATTCGAACAGTGGTTCAACCGCTCGCGCGTTCCTGTCAGCCAGCACGCGGAGCTGAGCATCACTAAAGGCCCCCTGGTGAGCCTGTCGCATGTGGTCTATATAGCGATCTCGTGAGTGGAAAGTCAACAACCCGTGCGATTTAGAATTGCAGCGCCAGCGCAAGGCATGGTCTTGCATATGCTTCAACCATTGTTCGTTGTGACTATATAACTGATCTGGAGTCTCGCATTCGTCGAAGAGGCAAACGTATGCATCCAGATCATTCTTAACGTGAGCCCTAGACCTCCTAGTCAGGACTTTCTGGAGACTGAGTATGAACAGACTGAAGAGGTTTCGTGAGAGACCACTGGTGGTACCTACTTCCACTTCGCATCATTCTGCATCTCCCGTGCTGGAATAGCGTAGAAGCAAAACGGACATGTTATTTCTCCAATGGCTTCGACGCACAACTCCCAATTCCCATCCAAATCTTGCTTGAGATTCGCTTCCGCTTTCCTTTTGAGGGTCTCGAGGGTGGAAGGTGATTCGGTATCGCGCTTGTCGGACAATGACTGCAGGTTCAGTCTATGTTTCTCCTCCAGGCCTTTTCTTATTTTTTTGTATCTTTGTCTCACACGACCAAGGGGTGGTGCCGGGAATGGCAGCGCTTCGTGGCTGTCCAGCGCTACAGTTCTCGCACCGGAGACCGTGGAAGGGGTAGAGGCTTGTCTGAATCTTTCTATGGCTAGCGTGGTTGCACTGACTCCAGCTTGTGAGTTCGCCGGCATTTCGCCGGCCATTGGAGGCGATGCCGACGGGATCACAGGGGTACTGACAGCGGTTTGCTGAGGCGCATCCGTCGGCGGCGGTATCGTTTTCGGCGGAGACGTTATCAATGGTACTTTCAACGCCCGATGGCCGAAACGAGATCTCTTGTGCAGCACCCGCCTACGGCGAAGGATCATCGCGGAGACCAGTCGTCGCAGAATCTTTTCGTCCACGTTACGGAATCTATCGCGGACGTAATTTGCGAACACGACTTCCAGACACGGTTCCACATCGTTCCCCTCTTCATCCCGGATCCTGAATGATGTGGACACTTTTGCATTGTGGGCCTCGCTGCTCGCTCTTCGGATCGTATTAGACAGTCGATGAAGGAGCGCTATCTGACCGACAACGCCGCGCCTCGAACAAGTGCTCGTATCGCTTGCAGATGAGAGAGCAATATCCGATGACTGAGATCTGGGATCTGACTCGCAAAGCATGTGGGACCCTGCCAAATAATTCAGTATATCTAGTATCCCATCCTAACGCGACATCTGTCTCACTCACAGGCTTCGACTTGGTCTTCTAGCGTTTCCAGAAGCCCGATAATCACTTCATGCACCTCCTGTGCTTCTCTTAGGCGGTGATCCAATGAGGCGCGTCCTCCGGCAAAAACACCGATATTGGCCGCCCAGAGAGAGAAACGCGCGAGCTGGTCTTCCACCAAGGTCATTTCCAGGGACGAGATCGATGCAGACTGCTGCAAACATTGCTGGAAAAGATTCAAGCATCGATCGGCCGTCGCCGCAATTGTGTGGAGATGTCCTGGCTCTGGTGTCATGCCGTTGATTTCTTTTCCCCCGAAGGAAGCAAACTCGAGAATTCAGTTGACGAAAGGCTGACTGACTGATTGTGAGAAGATGCAAGGCTGAGAGACGAGGGGCAGGCAGGCCTGGCCCAAAGCGGTTTAGTGGTTTCGAGGCATCGATAAAGCATACCCCGCATCTTCACTCTTCCGCGCGCCCTCAGCCTCGGGGAACATCAGCACGCCGAGCGATGTAAGGGATGACTATGACTGTCATTCAAAATGTGGAACTATTGCTCCAGGTCTCGGAGATGCTTCGTGAAATTGCGAAACATCTCCGGAGCCATGGCGCTACCCGAGAGTCTAAGCATTTCTACAGCAGCGTCATGGCTCATTGCTTGATGATTCACGACCACATCAGCCGCATCGAGGCCTTCATTGCCGATGATAATGATTTGATCACAAACATGTTGCTTCGACTCGAGGCAACCGTCACCTCTGATATCTTGAAAACCCGATCGGTGCTCTCCACCACGGCTTATCCTCGGCTCGCAACGCTACACGACGCATGGAACCATGCTCGCCGTGAGGGCAGTACAATGGAACTGCAGCTCATAGTGCTCTCAATTGACCTTGCTGAAGACTCGGAGCAACCGGATAAGCTGATTGAATTTTTCGAAGATTGGGAAGATGACCTCAAGGTTCAATATCCCGACGACCCGGCACTGTGGGCTCGAGATGATATGGCCAGCCTGAAGAAGAATAGAAGACAGCCGTCATACTTGGTTCTGAATGCTCCTCAGTCATTGTTCCTTGCCCTGGTGGAGTCGAAGGACTGTACATGTCAGCCTGTACATGACTTCGGTGTTCGACTCTGCCTGGGAACATTTCAAACTCTCCCGGAGACCGAGAAGGAGCGCGAGCACGACTGCGCGTTCGAGATGTTTCTATCGATGCAACAGGAATGGCACGAGACAGACGTGTGCTTTGCTAAGAGTGCTGGAATAAACTTCGCGCAGACCAACAAAACCGCGCAGAGGCCAAAGGTCCACGCCATGAAGATCAAGAGTCTATGTGAACCGATTAAGAAGAGGAAGCCCTATGATCGTCTTAAGCTGAGAGTTGGGGATGATGGACGACTGTGGAAGCTGCGATCCGAGAAGTCCTGCTTTGCAGTGGATGAGACCAAAGAGCCGGTCTCACTGCAGCACTTTATCCAGGGCCAGTACAGGTCGCTGACCGATAAGACCAAACGTATTCTGGCCGTGATTCTCGGATATGCTGTTCTATACCTCCATGAAACTCCCTGGCTCCCACCCTCATGGGGCCCTTCAAGTATCTTATTCTTCCACACGACTTCATCGGCGATTCCTCTCAAACCCTTTATCCAAACTCAATTGGCAAAAGATCACGCGGTCGCTTCTCCGAACATTTCCATTATAGATTCAGATGACTTTGATCCCGACGACTTAGACCCAGATGACATTATGATACATCAGTGTCCGCATCTGGTGACTTTGGGGATTGTGTTGATGGAGCTGTATCTCGCCACTCCCTTCGAAGAACTAGCTGAAAAATACGGTGTGCCTCTGAATGATCGGACGAGGTCCATCGATGCAGAGCTAGTGTTTGAACAATGCAAAATTGAAATCCCGGAGAATTCCCAGTTTCATTACGCCGTGAAGAAATGCTTAGATCCAAAGGTGTGGGAGGACAACAATGGAGCCCGATTGAGCGACAATGCATTGAAAACCGCAATATACCAGGAGGTTGTTAGTCCCTTAGAAGATGAGCTGAGCCAAGCGTTTAGCTACATTTCTCTTGAACAACTTGATCGCATTGCACAAACTCTGGATCTGGCCAGTTGGGGTCAGGCTATCCAGACTTACCAGGCTTCTCCTCGTTCTCCTGGAACTCCCGTCGACATGGCGTTGAGACCAGCACCGGGGCTCTCATCGATCCAAGACTTGAAAAATCAATATCAACAGCAGCAAAGATATCTAGCGCATCTTCAGGGATCGGTCACGTTGCCAGCGATGCCTATCTTTCAGCCTGTTTCTTCTGCGATGCACGTGCCCCAACCAGGAATAACGACTCAGTTTCCTTACTCAAGCATGAAATTCTTTGATGATGAAACAACTGCCGAAGAGCATTCAGCGGAAGCGTGAGTCTGCAAAATGACCCCTTCAGCTGTAGGTCCAGCTAACAGCCAGTATTAACGAAACAGATGTATCAATTATCGCAAGTGGCGTCAAAGATATAAAGATGTCTACGAAAAGCACATCTTTCAGCCACCCAATATCCCAGTGAAGATCGCTGTTTTCGATACCGGGGTGGATCAGACACACCCAGACGTAGATGCATGCATTGAGCAGATCAAGGGTCAATTCAATTGGACGAATGAGAAATTTCCCCGGCTGGTCGACGACTACAACGGTCACGGAACATTTATCACGAGCTTGGTCATGGAATATTGTCCCGACGCAGAGATCTACATCGCTAAGATTTCCGACGGCAAACCATCCAGTCCCAGCATCATCGCCAAGGTAAGATCGGACACGGTGTTGTGATGGGTGATGGCACATCAACTGACTTGGACAGGCTCTGAACTATGCAGTCAACGAATGGCAGGTTGACATCATCTCCATGTCGTTTGGGTTTCGCACAAGGGATGTTGAAGGCTACGATGAGCTGGAACGTGCCATTCACAACGCATACTCCAGCCATGTTCTTCTCTTTGCTGCCGCTTCGAACAGCGGTGCGAACCTGGACAGGGCTTACCCGGCTCGCGATGAGAATGTGATCTGTATCAATTCAACCGATGCAAATGGGAACCGCTCACCCTTTAGCCCTACTGCTCTCGCGGACACACTGAACCTGGCCACGGTCGGCGAGGCCGTGGAGTCCGCTTGGCCAGTGCGTCTCTGCGAATCGCCGTCTGGTCTCAAGCATAAATCGGGGACATCATATGCCACCCCCATCGCGGTTTCCATTGCGGGCTTCCTGCTGCAGTACACCCGGCTACATTTCCCCGAGTATGCGTACATGTTGCAACGACGGTCGAAAATGCAAGCCGTGCTGCGGAAGATCGCGGAGAAGAGCCTGGACTCGCGAGCCCGCGATGACTACCATTTTGTGGCACTGAGTCTTTATTCCGATAATCTATTTGGAAAGGACCCGGAGTTCATCAACCATACACTGCGCGATATACTCCGCCGGTAGATCATTGGAGACTTGCTGCGCCGTCCAGCCGAGGTACACCCACTGTAATGTGCTCGTCTCCCTCCGTCATTTGCATGCCTGTCCACTCTTTCCCATCATCGCCCGCTTCCAGCTCGTCCTCCTCAAGAACAAGAATACCCCGCGATCCTCCCAGTACCACGGGCTCATTCCCCAGCATGGCGCCTTTGCCATAATCCTCCACCTCGCGCACCTCGTTCGTCTTCCTTGCCACTTTGATCCTCTTGACACGAAATGCTAGAACAAAATCCCCCCCGTTCTCCCAGTCCATACCCACCTTCTTGGACCGGGTGAGTTCAAACTCCGGGCCCCCAGCCACCGGAACCACGCCGCCACTCCACACCGTGCCGTCCACGGTGGCCGCCAGATTGCCGCTGATCTCCCGCCCGGTCCGCGACCGGCCCGCCTTCGCCCCGTGGACCACCTTCAACCCCACGATGAGGTACAGCGGCTTCCTGTAGCGGGATCGCTCGAGCCACCGCTGCACCACAGGGGAGGCGTCGATGCATTTTTCTTGGACGTAGCTAGGACGGGGCACGAATTGCGTGGTGGTGATGGTCTCGAAGCGGAAGGTCTCCTCGTCGCTGCACACGCGGGGTCAGAACTTTCCCTCTTTCCTTTGTACGTCATGTAATCAGGGTGTGCCCCCGTAAAACTATCATCCATATAAACCAAAGCATTACCCACGCAGAAAAAAATGTTCCAAGAAAAAAAAAAAAAAAAAAAAAACTAACGCCTCCTCTCCCACCCACCCCCAACATCAACCCCAAACCCCAGGAACGAGAGGAATTGCGTGAGGATCCCGAATTTCCCAGCCCGCAGGCGCTCGCGCGAGAAGGTCACATCGGACTTGTCGGAGGCAAAGACCTCGGATTCGGCGGGCGGGGATGCGGTGAAGAGGGGCTGGTCGGGTCTGTGCAGCGAGGTGAGCACGTTGCCCAGCTGGATGGGCCCGGCGGGCGGCGGCGGGTAGTCCCACGTGGGCGCGAAGTAGAAGTATGGGGTTCGGTTGGCCATTTACTTTTTGGCGGTTGACTTTCGAGGTTTTCCTTTATCTCCCGTCTGCGTGTAGAATTTCCTGAAAAGTGAGTTGGGCAAGTGAGCACGTCGCCGAGGATAAGCCAGTGCCGACTTCCATGCGGCTGACGGTCGAAAGGCGGGGTTATCGTACATACGGTTTAGCTGAGTAGGGCGGGTGTGACCCTAGTACCTAGTCTTGACTAGTGACGCAGGCAGGCAGTTGTATGCACTTTTGGCGAACCTGTGTATTACCAAGCTAGTAATCCTTCCTTTTGGTTTCATTGAGCCATCCCGCGATTGAAATGCTTAGCACCATGTTGTTGGCCAAGGCGCACACCCTCTGGCAGTCACTAAATTCATCCCTCCCGCGAGGGCCCGGCGGAGCGAGTTCCTGTTCATTGATCCTAGTAAATGGCGACAGCGAAAAGCCGTTTGGATGATGGGAGCACACTTTTCACCTGAAGCAAAATGCAGCTTCACTTGATTCATTCCAAAGCTCCGACCGGTATTTTGCTTCTAGTCTTGCTGCCGGCCTCCTTAGTCGAAAGCGCGAGATTCCGTGAAATCTGGTCTCAGAGGATATACTTACTCCACCAACGGGCAGCTTCGATGGCTCAGTATGGAAGCTAATGCACTTCCCAGCAACAACTTTTTGGAGACCGGCCAGGGAATTGTAACCATTCACGCGTTTGAACGGGAAGATGCTTATGCTGCCGAAAATAGCAAAGCAGTGCATGCAGCACTGTTACCCTCATATACTACGCTCTTCCCACTCGAACAGTGGCTGACCCTCATGCTTGACTTGATAGTCGTTGGGGTGGCCCTGCTCAACGTGGTCCTCATTGTAACCCTGAGGGATGATTTCACCGCAGGCGATGTGGGACTAAGTATGAACGTGATTCTGACAGTCAATATGGTCCTGTTGATCACTGTCAAGAATCCGCCTGATAGACTTCATGTGCTGTAATTCCACATAAGCTCACAAGCTTTAGGTGCAACAATTAAATACCTCCACCAGAGAGCCTGACACCGGTTGCTATCTTATTTCTTAGTGCCAGAGGCTGTTGGCTTCTAGGTTTCTGGATGTATTCAGTTGTCTATTCGTTACTTATGAATACCTAGTGGTTTACCGGTAACCCACTCTTCTAAGGGCTAGTACATACAAGTGTCGGCACCACTGTCCATATTTGGTAAACCTGACTTAATTTACTATAGGGCAAGGTAGTTAAAAGGGTCAACGAGGTACAAGGCTAAGGTGGTATACGAGGGATGCATACGAACTCAGACAGACACTCTAGGCTTGCACTGTGACAGAAGATGTATAAGCGATTCGATGTCTCAGGGTGGGCTATATGGAACAATTTCTGAAATTCTTGGTGGTTGGATGGTTGAGCTGAGTTCCTAAGGTGTGCTGCTTTGGGAGCTATCTACTATTGTCTCCATATAACTCTATACTACAAAGCTCAACTAAAAAAGTAAAATGTCACAAGGAAGGAGAGTTAGACACTCAGCCAAAGGCAAAGGGATCGGGCCGTTTAGTACACCTGTCCCACTGCCCCCACCTCATCCGCCAATTGTACCTTTTCTGCCTGACCTCGACCACAAAGTCGCCTCCTTTGCGCGCGAAGTTCAGAAACTTCGCACTGTCATAGAGTTGCTTCAGCCTCGAGAGAACATAGGTCGCCAGCAAATCCCGCAAACAAAATCCCTCGTCGTCCCGAGGGCGTGTATGCAAGTACGAGAAGCGCACCAGCTCAATAAAATAGTCCACGTGGTCCTCGAACAACTCAAACTCTCCGAGTGTCGTCGCCAGCTTTTCCAAAACAATATCCTTAAGGGGAACGATGCCGTATTGCTCCGCCAGGACGCATAGCTTGGCATAGCCGAGAAGGTTGGACGTAAGTTGCCTTTGGAGGTGGAGGGGTATCTTGCGAGGCGCGTAGGCCTTTTTTCTCTCTTCGGAGACTTGGCCTCGCTTGGTCGTGAGACAGGTGTGGAGATGGTTGGAGGCATCGCGAGTACTAGACGGGTTGAAAATCCGAGGTAAAGCCTGGGCTGCCGCGCCTGAACCAGCACCAGGCCTGTCTGACTGTGCGGCTGATCTGTCTAGAAAGACGGAGGGTAGGTCTCCATGATTCACCGTAGATTCTGCTCTTATCTTTTGACGGGCGCGGGAGGGACGGTTTTGCACCAGCTCTCAACTGGGACTGATAGACGGTGGCTTAGGGGTCCTGATGATATCGGGAGGGGGCGTGTAATCGCCGACGTACCCGTACTCGCACAGCCGGATGAATGTGTCCGCCTTGACATACGACCAGTCGAGTTCGCTGACCCCTTCTGAACCGCTCGTTTAGGAGGCTGTCAAGCTCAGACGAGAGGCTGGTTAGAACGTCGGAGTGAATGGTGATCCTCTTCTCTTCCGAACCGACAATGAAAGTAAATAATCGAGATGAGATGGAGCTGTTGCAGAGTTGTAGTCAGGCCACGAGGACTCTCACAACAGGGCTCAGGAGCTCACTTGGCAAATTTTGCATTCATGGATGCAAGTGACGGTGGGAAGGATTCTGCAACTCAAGAGGCAAACGGGTTGAACGGGGAGAAAAACGGTAGCGTGCAGCCGGTCTGAGTAATTGGGGTCTGTGTACCGAATGTCGGTGAAAATGATGGTCACGGTGCCAGGTGGTGGACGGCGTTGATCAGGTTGCCAGGGAGCGGAATCAGTGGCAAATATAATAGTGCTATGGGTGGTGTCTTGAATGAAACTACAATCGTAGTAATAATAGAATTCAGATTCCGCCACAATAATACCAACGTAAAGTGTATTACTAGAAGGATGAGGCATAGGGATCACTGTTGTGAACTGAAGGGATTCATAGGACCGTTATTTTAAGCTCGCCACAAGAGAACAATGGGTTAATATAGACTGCGAGAGGAGTGCTCCTGCCTCAGCTATGCAATCTCATAGAGATGGTGTGATGGGAAACTATGTAAGCATGCAGCAGAATGAAGAAAGCACGATTTGAGCTACCCAGATTGTCAATCAGCCTGTCACACCTGGCAGCTTTGTTAGGTTATGTTTCTGGGATTAGCAGGTTGGTTGGTGGCTTATACAAGTGGGGTTGCTCACACAAACAAGGTGTTTTGAGTAATGAAAAGTTTAGATCGGATGTCATTATAGGAGGGATATGCTCAAATTGGTCAAGCTAAAGAGACTTAGAAGCCCTATACTTCTTCGCGAAGAAGCGACTTCACGTCAAGGTCATCGTCTTTGTCAAGCTCCGTCTCACCCAAACAAATGAAGGTATTAAGGGTAAGGAGGCAATGCCCGAATGCCCATAATCACCTGGTGGAGGTGCACCGTCAAATGGGCAATCGCACTGGGCCCTAACCACTTGAAACAGAGGGGGCACTTCTCATCCACCAGATCCCTCCAGTCATGTTTGACCATATGCGCCTTCCACTCGTCAACCGTCGGAAACGCCGCATCCACGCCGCACTGCTCATGCAAGCAGATGTACGGGTGAAAATCGTAGAGCACATGATCCCGCCAGGGCTCGGGCGCGCAGATCGCCGCGGGGATGGAGTCGCCGCAATACGGGCATTGCACGCGCTCCACCCCGGGGCTCAGCGCCGGCGGGGGCGGGAATTTACCGCCCGGCGAGCTGTCGTTGTCCGCGACGGCGGCCGTGTGCGGCGGGCCACCACCCAGCGGCCCATCGCGCCGGTGCCATTGTAGAATCCGCCAGCGGATGAGTTTCGCGTCTGCCAGCCGCTCGTGCAGCACGCGGTGCGCGTTCGGGTACCAGGTGCGGAGGTTGCGCAGCGCCTGCTGCCGGAAGTCGGCGCTGCGGTCGCTGCCAAGCTCGTCAGGGACGTTGTAGTCCGGACACGTGAGGATGAACGGCGCGCTCTCGTATGTGCGGGCCCGTTGTCCGCAGCGGAGGGTCAGCAACACCAGCTCAATCCAGTATTTAGCTTCTGCTTGGGCTTCTGCAAAGGCGAGCGCCGGCGCGTCGCACCAGACGCCGGATTGCAGGGGGCTGGCCTGCGAGAGGGCAACCTCCACATTGCCGAGGGCGTAGGCGACGCTCAGCCGCGTCATGGGCAGGGTTCGCAGCTTGCTGGCGCACGATGATTGGTAGTCGGTTAGGAATTGGTGCTCGACCTCTAACCATCGCAGCGGGTCTTTGGGGGATAACCGGGACCGTGGGAGCGCCTTGTTAAGTTGGCTGCATCGCAAGACTTGTGCCATGAGTCCCTCATTTTGGGGTATGGCTATAGTTAGGGTAAGGGGGGGTAATTCTGCGGACATTTGTGTGTTCGTGGGCGGGAAAATTTATGTCAGGAGGTACGAAGCATTTATTCAGACATACAAGACGGCATATATACCTTATGTTGGCGGTGCATGCGGCGACGGCTCGATGGTGGTGTACAATGAACCAACAAGTAGCATGGTCATTATATGGAGAAGAATGGATAGGTAGCGCATAGTGCGTCCAAACAATGAAGGATCGGAACAACGGAGATTTCCTGCTATGTGGATGAAGTTTACCAGTAGCCAATTGCGACATCAAAGGAAGTCACGATGGAGCATTCGCCTCATTTAAGCATGGATTCTGGGACTTTAGCACTAACGCGATAGGCACAGCAGTTACCTACCCTGTCCATTTCCACAAACAAACCATGTAGACCCGACCAAACTCGCGTCCTCGTTATCATTTTAACTTCAAGTAGGGAAGAAGAAGCTTGCCATTTTCTACTTTTGTCTCTTCTCCCGTGGCCTTACCCCCCTGGCCATGCAAGTTACAACTCCCATTGAATTTCAAATGTCATTCAAGGTTGCACAAAATGTTTCAGAGGGCTTTGAAATGATCAAATTTTCTTCTATCTTTCTTCGTTATAATCTAGGTGTTTGAAAATCACTTGCAGGTTTTGTTGAGTTGTATTCTGGATGGACAGGTAGACTAGGTATTCTTGTTATGGAAAGGGGTAAAATTTATTGTGTATCCGCCAGGCACTAAATATTGGAAACATCTTCAACAATATAATTCCCGAAGTAACCTGTGCATGTTGAATTCATCCAATCTTGTCTAGGGATATACAAGGTTTATTTAATCCCCCTATGGTCAGGGACACCATGAATAGTACAGTTTGACAAAACTTCAACCTAGAAAGCCTCTATCCCGGATCAGAACCTAGCTCATACTCCCAAACCCATCCAGAAGAAAGCATCTCTACCATTCTATTTCGGATACTCGCATGTCTGAAACAGCTCCATCCAGTGCGAAATTGCGGCCGACCGGTAGGTGTCCGGCTCCACTCGACAGAGCTCGGTGACATTCAGCGGCTCGAAGGTCTTCTTCTGGTCAGCCTGGTCGGTGGGACTGAGCGACTCGGACAGGGTCACGTTATGGAAGAGGAAGGCGACGCCGCCCTGCTCCTGTGCACCGTGCTGCCACCACTTGGCGTGGAAGAGAACGTCATAAACGTATGTATAAACGTCAACGCCGCGTTCAGCCCACTAATACGGAGTTATGCTGTGTTAGTGCAGAAACAGCGGGGAGCGGAATGTTTGGGCTTACTGCTTGACTGGCGATGCGACGACCTGCCTGCATTATCTTGTCCCCATTATGCGCATTCCAGCGCTTCCACTGCCGGCCAGACCCGTCTCATTGCCGGGTCGGCTGTCTAGTGTGGGATGCTCTGTGCTGGGTCGTCTGGATGGAGCTGCGTGACCTTGTTGGCTGCGGCGGTGCTTAACCCATCATACTCGACCATGGCACGGAATTCAGCGGTGGTGTTGATCCCCTCAACGCTATAGTAGCTCCAGGCTCCCTCTTCCTGTCTGGTGCGGAGCAGCAGGGGCACCTTGACGAAGTCGCCGGCCTCGATCGCGGAAGACTCCAACTTTTGGAGGAAATTGCCGTCCACAACGGGGTTGGGCCGGTTGAGCGTGGTGAGGTTGCTGCTGAAAACATCAGAGAGATTAGCGGCCGGGGCACGGCGCAGACAGTCCAGCGGACTCCATGAGACAGCATTGGTGCAGTTCGTAGCATTCATAAAAGCCTCGTACAGCGGCTGCCAGTCCGTCGCCGAGACGGAGGACCACATCAACACAGGGCTGCCACTCTGGGCGATCGCAGCGCGGAAGAGCCCATCGTCGCGGCCCCCGCACGCCAGCATCTGCAAGCCGACGCTGAATGCGGCCGCCTCCTGACCTCAGATGATTATTTTGGTCGGATCGCCACCAAAGGCTGCGATGTTCTCCTGCACCCACCGCAGCGCCAACCGCTGGTCACGCAAGCCCAGGTTGGTCGACCCCTCGCGCACCACCTCCTCCCCGTAGAGGAACCTCCAACAGCTGAGACGGTAGTTCAGCGGCACCCTGAGGAACTCCTGCCCGTTTTGTACCCCCACCTACACCAAAGATGTCATGTTGTGGCGCGGGTCGCTGCCTGCCCCGTGCTTGAAGAGTCCCCCGTGGATGTAATCCACCACCGTGAGTAGGCCCTTGGACGAGGACACGTTGGATGCCCGCACTACATTCAACGTCAGGCAATCCTCAACACGTGTTCACCATTGGCTTGAGTGAACCTGAGGGATGAACGGTCGAAGCCCTCGAGGCAAGGAACCCAACCGTTCAACCAAAGAAGGATGAGGTAATTTGGTGAGAGTCAAGAATGTATATGTGATGGAACAAGATGGTTGTTGCGATAGCCTGGGCCTGCCTGCTAAGAAATGCGGACACTTTGATCTTGCCCTAAAAAGAACCCAAGGAGCCGATGGTAATATGACGAGATTGGCGATCCAAGACCCATTGATTCCTGATTGAGTTTCTGACCAAGAGGTCGACGAATATTGATGAACATTAATAAGAAATGATGCTGAAGGTGATAAAAAAGGCCTATATTACGGAAGGGCTTATGATGCGACAAAAAGGGTTGAAGAATAATGGATTCTGGGCTATCTGAGAGCAACTACTAGGATTTGAACAGCGCGTGAGCGTCTCAGCAATCGCAGGCTTGACACTCCAACAAAATTCCTACTGGCTACTGTATAACCAGACACAAAACAAGTCGATCACATCTTTTCATTAACCAAAGCAAACTCTGATACATTGACTCCAAGCAAGGAACTCATGTTCCGTGTGTTCAAAATGCCAAACAGCGGGTAGCGGCAGTGATTCGAGCACCCCACCTCACCAGAATGTCGAGGGCTAGATCCCACAGGGATCGGAAATGGAAATATAATCCGAACGAGACGAGAGCGAGTCCCCATCAAAGTCGGACCAAAATGCACTATCCGATTCGCTGTCACTGTCCGACAGCCCCACGCCCAAGACATCGTCGCGCAGTCTCCTCTCCCGACGCGCCCACTCCCCCAAGAGAACGGTGTTCTCCTGCCCCCAGAGCAGAACATCCCTGGTCGCCAACGCATCCTCGACGGCACTATGCCCCTGACTACTGGCCTGAATCTGCCGTCCCAGCATGGCCATCGCCAGGGTCTTCAGCCCCCACAGTCGGGGGAACCGCCTTGCCTCGCCCCACCGTGTCGAGAACACAGCCTCTGCCGTCACGATCGCCGTGTCGACCACCCGCGGGTGAATGATCCCCAACGCGTTGAGATCATTGTGCAGCGCATGTCCGATGAGGACCGTGTCGCGGTCGATATGCTCCCACAGCCCCTGACGGGCCGCCTGCCACGATTCAAACGCCTGCCCGTGCAGGATGGCCGCGTTCATGCTCTCTGGCGTGATGCCCGTGATCCGGGTCATCCAGCGTGTCACCCGCCCCGATGGCCGCACGTAACGGTCGATGAGCACCTCCCCTGTCAGGAAGTCTACCGCCGCGAGGTACGCCAGCCCGTTGTAGCTCCGGTCCCGTCCATAGGGATCCTCTGTCATCACCATTTCGCAGTCGATGACCACGGCCTTTCTTGCTCGTGGTGGCGTGGAGGTGCTATGGGTAGGTATGTGTTGGAAGAGTGACCTGGGGACCGCTCCGTTCCAGGGCTGCGCCCATGGTGGCTCGACTGTCAAGAAGTTGTAGCCCTGTGTGCTGAGGCAGGTGGTTGAATGGCAGCGCGGAAGGAGGCGCGCCAAGAGGAGGTCCTGCTTTGTGAGGACTGGTAATGTGATGGTGGTGGTGGCGGTGGTTGTTGTTCTTGATGATGAGGATGGTGATGTCGTGGTGATGGTGGTGGTCGTAGTGATACTGTCACTCTTACGTAGAGTGACTGGCTCCACAGCTACGCTGGGAGACTGCACTGGCTTCTCTATAGGGAGAAGCGCTCCCTCACCTAGGCTCGTGAGGTAGGCGAGTCGAAGATGCTGCTGGTTCTTTGCATCCGCACAGCTCGGCTCAGAAGGCTGTGCACTGGAAGCCGAAGTGAGACGCTTCGCTACCGTTCCTCCATATGGTTGAGAAGGGAATGAAGACGACCCCCTTGCTGTTGACGTCGAGCCATGCGCGGCTCGTTGGTGCTGAGATACTGCATCCGCAGTAACGAAGGTCTTCAAACAGCTCGGACAGGCGAGTCTGTGCCACTTATAGATTTGGTGCTGCCGGAGAAGCTCCACGCTCTCGAAGAGCTGCTGGCAGGTTGGACAGGTACGATCCACTGCCGAGGCAGTGCTTACTGTGCCCGGTTGTCTCGGGCTTGAAGAGATTTGAGTCATGGTCATGGTGGTGGTGTTGAGTGTGGAGGTAAAGATAGGAGGTCAAGTTCAGTGTGGTTAAGTTGATGTTTCGGATTTGAAGAAGAGGAGGGGGCTTGGTGGTTCTCTTGGGGGGTGGGCCATGCTTTTGTGTCCCTGCACGGTTCTCATCGTGATCGTTGACTCATGGTGTCTCGTCAGTATACCATCATGCAATGCTGCCTCGCATAGCCAACGACGGCTGGATTACAGCATCTCGGCGGATTATGCTTAGTAGCCTTTTCCAGAACCATGAGTCGCGTGAGCACCATGACGAGGGCTCAAGAGTAAAGTAGAAATTCAATCAGAGTCTCCCAAGGTTAAGCGAGAAAACTTCAGACGACAGATGTAGTCCTGCCAAAGTGCCAACTCGACCAAGACGCCGGAGTCATGCATCCTGCAGAGCAGCACTTCCGAGATTTAGAAAACGCAAATGTCAAGGATGTTACAATGCGAGAGAGGCCAGGTGTTTCAATTTGCTGGGATCCGATATGAGCCTCGAGATCAGTAGTGGACCTTTCCTACCTCCAGCATCGTTTTCGAGATCTAAGATCTGAGATCGTGAAAATCTTGGGAGAGGAAAGATGATATAACGGAATTCTATATATCCCTTGATATGAGTTTGTGGTGATCTGGATTTAACTCTAGCTAATCGTAATTGATATGTAGATTGAATACCTACTACTTAGTTACATTCACCTTCCCTGCTTCGAGCTTTCCGAACCACAGGCAATTTGTGTCATGCTTACGAGGCCAGCTGAACTTCTCACTGGAAACTTTCTGTTGAATGATGTATGTATTTGTTTTTTCAGTCTTTGATACTACGTAGAAACTTGGAGAAATCCTTGATCAGATCTTGATGTATTTGGGGTGATCTTATGGCAGGGTAGCATTGTCAGATCTAAAGACCCACTGGTTCAAGCTAGGAACCGATTGGAAATAGTTTCCGAGATGCGGTAATTTCATCGTCGACGCTCAATCTTTCAATACCGGGCCGTTCTCGGAACACACTACCTTAATACCTTAAAACTCGGGCGGGTCACGATCCTGGACCCTGAGCCGAAGTAGGGCTCGATGGGCTCTCTTCTTTGGGTCTAGCGCCGCCAGGCACCGGAACAACAAACCAAGACAAAGAAAGTCAACAGCGATCGACAAGCAAAAAGAAGATTTGTTTTACCAGTGGGTGAATACTACGTTTGCTCTGATATTTAGAATTCATGTGAATCTGAGGTCTTATCCTATTCTTGTCCATGGTCAAGTTCTGAATTATCGCTGAGAATAAAGTTATTGCCCACCTGGGAGACGGAAGTTAACTCGGCAACCTGAGCAGATGGCGACCACTTGCTCGCGTCTATCGGAGAAAGTCACATGGCTACCTATGTAAATGTAGTGTGCATGTGAAAACCGAGAGACCTGTCAGATTCGGGAACAAGCGGTGGGTAAATGATTTGCGTTTGGTTCCGACCAAAGTACAGCGCGGCGCGGCATCTGGAATCCCGTCAGGGGAATCGCACGTGATGATAGGGATAAGAGCTTAAATTTGCTCTCCCTCAACACCGCATGTGACAAAATCTTCTCCCTTAGCTGAAACTTCCCGCAAACGGAACATCTGACCTCGAACGGTAGCTGTTAACCCCGGTTGAGTGACTCAAGCTCCATTTGGCGATAACAGACTGGCGATCACACTTCTTCTCCTATTGCCTAGTCTTCCTGCCTGGTACGCATCACACGCTCGTCGCATAGGACCGAGCAGCTACCACACGGATTAAGTACACCATGACAATGCCCAACAACGCGTCGACCGACACTGTCGAATTTCCTCTAGATCTCCCTGTTGCGCAGCTGCAGACTATTCAGCTGGGGAGACTGCAAGCAGGTGACCAGGATGAAGCCCAGCGTCTACTTGACGCGAGTCGAAAGGATGGTGTCTTCTATTTGAATCTGGCAGTTGCGCAGGCGGAAATCCTTCCGGTCCTGGATTCTATCTACGAGCTCTCAGAGGGACTCTTTGATCTGCCGCTCGAAGATAAATGTCTCTATGATGTGGATAAGTTGGGTAACATGAAATGCAATGGGTATGTGATCTTTCTTTGTGTCTGATGTCCTTCTGCCAACCTCAATAACACGAATTCATCAGATACAAGCCCGTGGGTCGCAACTTCGGAGGACTAGAGGGTAAACGCGATGGATTCGAGACCTACGTGGTATGATGCGACATCTGCCCCTCACCCACGAAAACGACCAAAATTCATCAGATCATATCTAACAAACCGGAAAGATCCCCAAGAACGGAATTTTGAGCCTAGACAATCAGCTGGACTTTCCCCGCCCCCCACTGATTGACCAATACATGAGCACCCTGCGACAGTTCACCAACTTCGTCAACACAACCTCCCAGACTATTTTCGACACACTCTCCCACTCTCTGGAGCTCCCCGAAACCGGGAACCTGAAGCTCTTCCACCGCCAGTCCGCCCCATCGCCCGACATCATCCGTCTCCTCAAGTACCAGTCTCAGCCCGCCGAGCAGCGCGGGGTCCCGCACGCCGCTCACACCGACATGGGCACGCTGACCTTCCTGTTCACCCGCCAGCCCGGGTTACAGATCCAGAACCCCGGTGAAGAGGTCTGGAGATGGGTGCTGCCGCGCGAGGGCCACGCCATCGTCAACTTGGGTGACGGCCTCTCCCTGCTCACCAACGGTTACCTGCAGTCCTGCGTCCACCGCGTGGGCCCTCTTCCCGATCGGGCTATGCCGACCCGCTATTCGTTCGCGTACATGGTGCGTCCGGAGAACCAGACGGTGATGGCCGCGCCGCCGACGGAATGCATCCCTGCTCGTGACCCCGATGCGACGGTGCTGACGGCGCAGGAGTGGTTGGAGAAGAAGTACTCTGTGCTGCGGTTGGATGCGCGGCCGGATGACTTGGTATGGATGATGACGGGACAGCAGGGGAGGTAGAGGATTGCCTGGGTTTTGATGGATTATGGTGTTTTAATAGTAAGCATAGAACAAGGTAGTCAGGTGTGATTGAAGTGCTTCTTGGTTGTCAGGAGATTTGCTTCTGGGCTCATTAGACCAGTTTTCAAAACGCTGGCGAGGATTCAGATGGTGGGTAACTAGTTGCTTTCTACCTGATCTTAAGAGACCGCCTTGGCAGGGATGTATGTACATGCGTCTTGCATGATAGTTGCGAAACTTGCAAGGGGTACTTATCGCTGAAAAGGTTCTGGATTTGCGCATGAGAGAGGAAACATTGAGAGGCTCGGTTCTAATTCAAGAATAATTGTGATTCGTACCACCATTTTAAGCCATATCTCCGCCAAGGGAGGCCGAAAGAACAAACAGAAGAATATGCTAACCAAGGAGATGGCCGCGTAACACTATTTGATAATCTCAAAAAGCACGAGGTAAATTACTTGGTTCCTTCCTGTGTGTGTGTAGGTATGTGTTTGCATATGTTTGATAGGGTGGCACTCCTATGCTGACTACAGGACATCATTCTTTGCGCGTATAGATCTCCATACTCTCCATTGTCAACATTATCTGCAGTTGTTTACCAGTCCCATCAACCCTCGCTGCTCAGCCTCGTTTTGTCAACAGCCCAATATCCAAATTACCAGAATCTCCTAAACAAGTCTAATGGTGGTTATGGTGGTGGTGCCCAAAGTGCTCGTGCTGATGCCGCTTTAGATGGTCTGCGGAAGCTTTGTTTACCTGTGGCAGTGCGCTTTTAATAAGTCAAGGGATCGTGCGTGAGGTAATACTCAAGAAACTTACATTTGACGCCGCGACAGAAGAATGAGAAGCAGACACAATTCCACGAGAGGACGACGGCCCAAGCACCAGCTTGGATGAAGACGAAACAGTTGGCGTATTAGCATGCTCCTCACCACACAGTCCCAAGATGAACCCCATATTCTCCGCCTGCGCGACCGGGCTCGAGCCGTACAATTGGCATTCCTTGCCGTTGACAGTGAAGAGCCATGCCTGGCAAGTGCTCAAGCTCTCGCACTCGATGGCACATTCCGAGGGAGACGGATGGGTGTATCCGAAGGCCAGAGGGGCTTTGCTGAAAAAGCCGATCTTCCCATGTTGGGCACTGTTGAGACAGGACGCGGATACCGCGAGCGAGAAAATGGTCCATGCGAGGACGAAAGAGAGAAGGGATGACATGATCCAGGAAGATTTGAGGATTTCAGCGAGAGTTGCAAGAGGGGATGGAAAGGGATTCCCAACGACCTTTGCTGGTAGTCAAGTTATCGGAATCTAGGGCTATGAAAATTCGGATGCCTGGGCGGGTGTGGGGTGTGGTGGCCCGATCTTTCTGCGGTAATCTCCGAATCCTTTCTGTTTACTGACTCGCAAAAATCTAGCGAGATTAATTTGTGTTGTTATCTCCTGCGGAGTTCCGGGATCCAAAAGGGATCCAATAATCGTTTAAGGGACTAATTTATTTAGGGGTCCGAGGCTAGTGATGCGAGCGACAAGCTATGGCTAAGCTACGGCCAAGCTAAAGGCCCGCTAAATTGACGCTAAATGGTGGCAGCTGCGCCAGACCCTGACTCTAGACCCTTATGACAAATTCACTCCTGTGTTACCACTTGTTTTTTTTTCTGTCACCTGACACCATCCCCCTTTCCCCCCCACCCAAGCGACAGACACCCGTCGCCCTTTCGACACATTGCTGGAACCGCAACGCAGCTCTCACCATGGCTTCACGTCGCGCTCTACAGCCGTTTCACTCTCGCTCTCGTCCACAACTCCCCATCCACACTTCGTACATACGAAATCCATGCTCTTTTACTCGTTTACACTCGCAGCAATTTCCCAAAATGGACAACAGCGGCGATGGCCCTCTGCAAGTTCCTGGATTCAATGATATTCCTCTATACTATGAGCTACCCAGAGGCTCTCGCTTCGCGCATGGGATCGCAGACTGGAGACAGATCCCACAGCTGACCCTGCGGGAGGTTTGTATGCTACAGTTCATGTCCTACGTCACGGAGCAGCCAAACTGGGAAAACAAGTGCGACGACCCCGACACCCTCGAGATCTGGCGTGAAAAGGCCGATAGTGCTTTTGACCTGGATCAGCCATGCTGGGACTGGTGCCGCAAAGAGCTGCGAGAAAAAGCAGCTAACTTCAAGCGCAAGGGTCACGTGGCCGTCTTTGATGCGGACTCTCGAGTCATCAAGGCGGAAGTCGACGCTAGTCTTCTCGCCGATCTTCGGACAGCCATGGAACCACTTTTCTCATCGACAGAAGAACCCAACTCGGAAGACAAAGAGGCGCCCGTGGAGGCTGGTGTTCAAGGCCCCGTCCGGCATGTGGTTGATCCATCTATGTATCCTCTTGTGTATGGACGGACCAAAGTGTTCATCAATGGAGGCAAGGTCAATCTCGACAGCTTTGAGTCATGTGATTACTCTGGATGCCAGACTGCTCCGATTCCTGACAAGTTGATCAAACATCCGTATGAGCTAAACCACGAGGAGAGAGATCCATATGATGGCCGAGGGACAAACAAGCCTAATTACTGGTCAAACAAATTCCAGTGGCTTCCGTGCGAAGTCAAGTTCACGGATCGAGGAGAAACGAAGATCACCTCCTACATCAATGGTGTGAACCCAAGGGAGAAAGAAACTTACCGAGCACTTGAGAGACTAATCGACACCGCGATACATCCGTGGAATGAGATGCTTATCCTTGGAAACCAAGGTCGAACTCCGATTCGTATTAGAACTTATGACTTCCAAACCGAAAATGAGGCGTTGCCGCAGGCGTACAACCTTCTCTGGGGCACAACTGTGGGGTTGGAAGTGAGATTCTCTGAAGAGCAGTGGCCTGAGATCCGCTCGCAAGTCAGAGACTACTTGAATCTCCCCGAATATGAACAACGATACCAGATCGATCCGAGCGAATCCAATGTCAAGGACCTCCTCGCCAGCATGGACCCGTCGCAGTGGAGCTCGCCCGCAGCACTTGAAGAAGTAATTGTCGAAAAGCATCGTCGACGATATGTCGTCAAAGGTATAGAACCTGGTATCTCCTTCACATACAATGAGTGGAAGACCGGGCAAAACACCGGTCGTGCAATCCTACCCAAAGTGAACAATTCCTTGCGCAGCAGGAGCCCCACACCACCGCCTCCTGAACCAAACCACCAATTCTACACCGTTTCTCTTCGGGACCATTTTCAAGGCCTACAGGTGATTATCAGGGTGTCGAGCATTGATCTGACCCCAGAAAGACCCTTGTATACTGGGGAGCCCCAGTTTGGGGTGGCCGGTATTCTCAATGAGCATATCGTTGCCACAACGGTCTGCTATTTGGACATGGATAATATCAAAGACCCGAAGGTATCATTTCAACAAGAGACACTATTGAGCACCCTCGACTTCAATGTTGAGAAATACTTGATTATGAATCGCGTTTTCGACGTTCCAGAGGAGAAAGACGATGAACTACCACCAGCACTGCAGAACCTGGGCTCTGTTTCTGTTTCCCAAGCCGGGGAGCTTCTCTCTTGGCCGAACACGCTGCGATCCCGAGCAGAGGCTTTCAATCTTAGAGACCCGTCTCAACCCGGCCGCCTTCGATTTGTAACCCTCTGGCTGGTAGATCCCCATTACCGAATCTGTTCAACCCAGAATGTCCCACCCCAGGACGAAAGCTGGGTTGGCACATCCATGGCTCATCCACAGGAAGACACGCAGACTCAGAAATTAACGACGCCCGCAGAAGCGATTCATACTAGAAAACAGATGAATCAGGACAGAAACTCCTCTGCCTGTGCATTTCACCGGTATGGTCATGGTGCTCACAAATACGCCGACGACTATCACGCATTCTACTATGGCAGTCGCGAAGAGTCCTAAGTACCACTGTGTTTTCAGCCCCCTTTTGTCATATTGTAGCAATTAGGCTATCATACATCATATATAAAGATACCATAACCAACACAAAATGTGTTGAAGCAGTGTGGCCTTTTACTGTTCGAACTTTCTGGGCAGATCCTAGACGGAACTGAGGACAAAAGGACAGACTCATCCAGGTTTATCTACTCGCTTGTGCAGTAAATAGTCGAGTGGTGACTGACGAACACGAATCACTAAAGTCTTAGAGTCACTTATATACAAAAAGCCTGGACATATGTACCCGAGTATTTCAGAGCATACTGAAAGCAGAACCACGAAAGCATCGAGAGGCTTAGCGCGCCTTGCAGCTGTCCACGCTATCCAGCTCACTCAGGCTCTGTCCAATTGTGTTGGTGATCAAGAGATGCGTTCTGAACTTCGCGGCCTCCGCTCCTGTTCTTTTCGGAAGACCCAAGTACCAGGTTAGGTAGGTCTTAATCTCCTCGGGGGATTTTCCGTTCGCCGCAGCGGTCGCGCTCCAGTCTGTCTCGAGGAAGGAAACATCTGTGTCCAAGACGGCGATCTCCGAGGCCTTGAGGGTCTTGCCGGGGAAATCCGCTGCCCACAACTTGCTCAAGCTGGTACGGTGCATCTCCTGCAACCGTGCGGCTTGCGTTCCGGCCAGCGCCCTTTTGAATTCCGGATACTGGTTATTCCAGGCGTCGGCAAAGCCTGGAGCAGTGCTACCGCGTGTGGACTTGACAATATCGGCGAGTTGCTGGAGCGTTGAACGGTGAGGAAGTTTATCGTCCTCTTAAGACCAAGAAGTTGAACAAGGCTGTACTTGTCGGTTTTCAGAGAGGCACCAATCTCGTCCAGTGTAGCCTGGTTATACGGAGGATTTGTGCTTGTCCAAATACCACTTTGGGGGAGACGTTGCGCAAAAACCGTGGAGACAAAGGTTCCGAAGTCGACGAGGGCTGTGTTGCCCAGTTTTGGCGCCAGTGTGCGTGAGGCCCCATTCGCCGAAAGGTCCAAGACGAAAGCGCTGTACATGACAATCGCCTCGCTGAGAATCGCCAAGGGAGAACCTTGGCAGAGGTTGCCTAGCAGTGCTAGGGTGAACAAGATGGCTCGGAAGCCCTTCATCGTGACCACGCAAGGGAAAGGAGTGACGGATAGCCACAACAGATATAGTAAAATAATTAGATTTCGGACGCGGCAGTTAGCTGCTGTGAATATCGAGTTGGTCAAAGTTGAAGAAGAAGATAATGAGTGAAACAGGAGATTGGATGGATAAATGAATGACTGGCTTGAAATGGTGGCATGAAGAGAGTGTAATCGACGACAAGCATAAAGGAAAACGACGGGTGTAAGTGATAAGCAACAGAGCGTCAGTCAGGGATCTATTCAAGACCTCCACTGGACCTCTGGGAGATTTAACTGTTGATCTAGGGGGTGCGCTTGTTCTGGATACTATCCTTATGTCCCAGGTGTGAAACGAGTTGGTATTGGGTATTTTACACTAAGTGCACTAGGCCCTAGTTCCAATTTCGTACATCGACGGACTGAGACATGCGGAGATGAGGTAACAAACCACAATCACTCCATCGCACCGTCGTTGACAGGCATTTTGCTAGTTTGGATTTAGCGAAAATAAGCTCGAAGGCGATTGAAGAATCATATAGGGGTGCTAGACATGGTACCGAGGTGCGTCGTAGTTGTGTGCCCATGAACTTCCCTGATGCCGTGTACCCGAGAGATAGGAAATCCTTTTCATTTTTATCCCTTCGAGCTTTCTTTTTCTTGCCGTCAAGACCCTCGCAAACATCAACAGACCTACTCACACACTCTCTTACGTTGCGGTGCCTACGACTTCTTTCCTTTTTCTTTTTTGATCACGTTCTTTAACCCACATTACCTTCACTTTTCTCTCTTTTTTGTACATTTTATTCTTTCTTTCATATTGCTTTTCCTCTTGCTTGAAGGCTCTGGCGTACCTTCCCTCCCCTTAAATTCAAAACATGAGTCCTCCCATTCGGTTGTGGCTTTGGATGCTTGTCTGGACATGCTGCGTCTGGTATCAGGTTCAGGCTCGTGCTGTGTTTGCTCACTTTATGCTCTCAAACACGGCAGGATACACTCCCGACGATTGGGAAAGTGAGATCCAGCTTGCTCTGGATGCCCACGTTGATGCATTCGCACTCAACATGGCGGCTGGAGAAAGTACCACCACTACCTCTCTCCCAAACGCCTTTGCAGCCGCTCAAAAGCTCAAGTTCCACCTGTTCTTTTCGTTCGATTACGCTGGCAACGGGCCTTGGGACAAGAACGATGTCTTGAGCCTGCTGGGCCAGTATGTGAGTAATGATGCTTACTACTTTCACGGGTCGAATCCACTGATGTCGACGTTCGAAGGACCGACAATGCAGAAGACTGGGTGGACATCAAGTCACAGCAATTCTGCTTCTTCGTTCCGGACTGGTCGTCGGTTGGGGCCAAAGCCGCTATGGCCCTGGCCGATGGGGTAGCGGACGGCCTTTTCAGTTGGGCTGCCTGGCCCAACGGACCCAACGACATGAATACCTATGTGGATGCCTCGTATATCCAGTACTTGGATAAGAAGCCCTACATGATGCCGATCTCTCCATGGTTCTTCACCAATATGCCCGGGTACGACAAGAATTGGCTGTGGCGTGGTGACGATCTCTGGTATACTCGGTGGGAACAGGCACTCTACCTCGCTCCGGAGTTCATCGAGATCATCTCCTGGAACGACTTCGGCGAGTCCCATTACATTGGGCCTATCGTTGACAGCCACAATCCGCTGGCTGACTCCATGTACACCGCGTTTGAGACAGGCGAAGCCCCTTACAACTATGTCGAGGGCTTCGACCACAGCGGCTGGAGACAATTCCTGCCTTATATGATTGACCTCTACAAGTATAACCAGACCAATATTGACAATGAAGGCTTGGTGACCTGGTATCGGCTGAATGCAGCAGGGGCGTGCCCTGACGGTGGCACGACTGGCAACACGGTGTCTCAACTGCAGTCGGAATACTGGCCCAAGGATATCGCACAAGATAAGATATTCTTCTCCGCATTACTTGGGGAGGCTAGAGATGTCTCGGTGACTATCGGAGGAGTAAATGTTGATGCAACGTGGACCAACACCCCAAGTGGTGGAGGGGGCATCTATCACGGCAGTGTCTCCTTTGCCGGCCATTCTGGCTCAGTCATCGTGTCTGTTACTGGATCTACCGGCACTATCACAGTGGCCGGACAAGACATTAGCAGCGGATGCTGGGAAGGGGATCAAGTCGAGAACTGGAATGCTTGGGTGGGCTACAGTATGGGCGGCGCAGTCGATGTGGATTCCCCCAAGCTGAACAAGGAGGTGTGTAGAGAAGGATGGGGAATGGGCGACTTCAATGGGCTCTGTAGCTACTCCTGCAGCTTGGGCTATTGTCCCATCGGAGCGTGCGTTTGCACCAAATTAGGACCTCAGCCAGAGTTGCCCACGTCCACCGGAATCCAGGGATACCCCGCGGCCGGGAAAGACGCCAACTACGCTGGGTTGTGTTCATTCGCCTGCAACTATGGATATTGTCCTTCTACTGCCTGTGGACCAGTATCGATTCCATTGACTATTCCAACCGTGTCCCCTTTCACCCCAGACACTTGTGTGGCAGGAACGGGTGAGAATGACCTAGCCGGCTTGTGCAGTTTCGGCTGTAATTATGGCTATTGCCCCATCTACAATTGTACCTGCACGGCGACAGGCCCTCTGAACATGCCTCCTGCCCAGAATACCAGTATCACGGGCTGGGCACCGGACGAAGACGATAATGGTCTTTGCGAATTTGCCTGTACCCGGAACTACTGTCCAGAGCCGGTCTGTTTAGACGTGACGCCTGATGATGACGCATGCGGGAATATTGACGATGACAGCGATGAGTGTGTAGGTATCTTCAACTGCGATTTTAGTATCAGTTACGCTTCTCTGGACGCTCTACGGGCTGATATGGATACCTTTGACCCCTATTGTGTTGACTTCTATGTCTTGGGCGCGCTGTATGGGGAGTTGGAAGCCACGGTCACCAACTTCACCAGCATTGCCAACACGAGCAACTATGACGAGTATTTCAAGGACTACGCGTCTTACATGAAAGGCCAAGTGGGGGCCCAGCTTACCTATTTTATGAATATGAGCGACACTGGTGCGCAGGGTGAGGGCAACCGATTCTTCACGTGCACACTCAGTTTTGGAGGGGTGAACCGGACGGCGGGACCATGTCCTGACGATCTCGGGTACGAAAATCGCCCACATACCGTATTCTATAACTTGATCGATGCAGACGGCTTCTATGGCAGCCTTAGCGCGGAGTTTGGGATAGAACGTGACTGGGTTGTGCTAGGGGGCTGGTCGAGCACGGAGGGGCCCTACTATGACGACAAAGGCAACACCGCGTGCAACGTCTACAACAACCCTGAGGCTGCCTGCTGGTGGCATCGCGGCTTCCCAATTCCAGCTCAGAAGATTACCATCAGCGACCCGCGGGAGCTGATGAGACAGGCCCTGCCCAACATCCCGAACCTCCAGCTCTCTCTCCTCATCACCGAGCTTCAGATCGTATCAGGCTCCTTCGACGGCGTGATCGACGACGTCGTCCAGACGTACTCCACCGCCGTGTTCACCCTGGCCGAGCTGGTCGACCGCATCTACTCCGTGGTCGCCATCGGGGAGAAGATCGAGGCCGAGAAGAAGAAGGAGCTGATCTTGCAGATCATCGGCGGCGTGTTCCTGATCGTGCCCTTCCTCGGCCCGCTCTCCGGCCTCGGGGATGTCATCGAGGGTCTGGATGCGGCGCTCGCGCTCGTGGGCACCGTCGCGAACGAGGCGACCGATATCTACACCATGGTGCAGGACCCCGAAAGCGCTCCGGTCGCGATTCTGAGCATGCTGCTCGACTTCAACGTGGGTGCGGCCGCCGGCGCGGCCACCAAAGATGGAGTCAGCGCGATCGAGTTCGACTCCATGGCCTTGACGCGACGCGGCATGAAGGGGTCGGATATCAAGACGGTCGGGGCGTTGTTCGAGCAAAAGATGGATCAGCTGGAGTCTATTGTCAGCAAGTGCGCGAGGCTTTGAGTCAGCTTAAGCCTTATGATATAAACCCTTGTAATAATATTTCTTGACTTGCCTGTATAACATTGTCATATGACCTTGGCACCTCGTAGGATCACGGAGTCCCCCAGTTTTTGTTTATGCCGCCAACCCTCCACTCCTCAGATACCAAAAACATCGCGCAAGATGCGAGTATCGATGTCAGTTGCACGTACAACACATCAGCACCGACTCATATATAACCATTGGCGCAATTTTTGATGACTACCGCCACCATGGAAACCTATTGCTACCGTCGTGCTCGGCGAAACTCCTGCGGCATGTTCAAATAAACTCAGCGGGGTGGGTCGCACGGATCCGCACCCCGCATCTAGGTCTATGTGGCTGACTTCTCATGGCACCGAGCGTATCGGTATGGTATGTTATGACTTACCCAAGCCACAAACAGTTCCGTGTGTGATTATCTCACTGATAAACCGCAGCTTCCGTGAAGCTTTCCTTATGATTTAATTAAGGTTCACTTCCGCTCGTTTCAAGCAGTTCTTTCTGCCCACGGAATTAACTTTCCCTGTCGATGGGACTAGCATCTCATATGGACCTGGGGATTCGTGGTCGATATTTCAACGAGGAATTACTAAGCCATCCGTAGCTGTATATCAAGAGCGGCGTCAAAGGCACTTTGTATAATCTCTAATGTACCTTTTGAGGTTCAAAAGCTTTAGTCGACCTTAGCAGTATCGACCTATTACATCTTTCATACCGCGCTTTCTAGATATATTAGGGCTTTGGGGGTCTTGCATTAGCATGCGTAGGATTTATCTAGGCTGAAATATTTCTATTAGGGTCTTCCAATACGGTGATCTTTCTATTATCCCTGTATGAGGGCTTTTTAGAGTCTGTTTGTCGGCGTACGTGGCCCGGGAACGCTGGGTCACGTCATCCGGGAACATGTCAGCACCACGTTGCACGTAGCTACCAGGTTTTTCACACCACCAATCAATGAAAAATTTGTGACCTC